GACAAATGGAGAGTAAAACTCCAAACTGGTATACCCGTCAATTATTACGTGTCACCAAACTTAGAAATTTGAAGGTAAAATTTAACGGAAACTAACGGGGGGGTAAATTTATTACATGTATACTAATTTTGTGATTTTTCGTGATATTAAACCTTTAAAAAACTAATTGGAATTATCATCATTTAAGTGGAGATAAGCACTGGAGAAGGTAGAATGTACGAGGACAATAAGAATATCGATTGCTTGACCCAATGTTAAAACTTTCTAGCTATGACTTAATTTTTAGTTTTCAAAGTACATAAACAGAAAATCAGCTACCCTATGAAGGGTGAATATATTGCATACAAAACAAAGGCAAAAAATCTAGCTATGTACAGGATGGACAAATATAAGTGTTTTGATTATTTCCAAATCATAGGTTGTCTCAATATGATTTTCATAATCTGTGTAGTCTCCGTGATATTTGACATATCTTTCAAACTTTTTTTTTTGGGGGGTTAAAGAAACATTTTATTCATTTCCACAGATATACAATAGAAATACGCAATCCAATTGCAAATTAAGACAACAAAACAAGTTCCACATAAGAAGATGAATCATAACAACAAGGTTATGGGTTATACACTTAAAGAGCAGATCTGGGACAATCTTCAAAACAAAATTGGCGGCCGATCATTGAATTCGTCTTTAGTAACGAGATTTTCATATGTTGCTATGGCCTTGTCTTTCGGTAGTGCGCGCCTAGATTCGGTGTTACCAACACCATCGCCGTGCAAAGTAACAAGATTGAACACGCACAAATCTGATACTTGTGAGAGCCAAACCTTCACGAAACTCCTTTGATCTCCTTCGAAACTGGACTTGTACACCAACGAAACTCGAGAAAAGCGAAGTCCCAAAATCATATATGCAAAAAAAAAAAAAACCTTAAATCTAGCTAGATTGGGATAAAAACCTCCCCAATATGGGAGAAAGAAACTTCTAGATCTAAATTATATCAGAAGAGAAAAGCACATCGAAATGGGAGGAAAAGCAAGAAAAAGAGAACAAATAACCAAATCAGCTAGAGAAGAAGGAAAAAGGGAGGGGAGGGAGAGACCTAGCTCAAACCCTCCCCTCCATAGAGATTGAAGAAGAAAGCCGTGTGAAGGTAAAAGGGAGAGGAGAGATCCAACTCAAACCCTCAATCTCGCATTCATTGATCATAGGGATAAGTGCACTACAAGTCCTAAAACTTGTCACAAAAGTGCGTTTGAGTCCTAAAACTTACAAAAAGTTCATTTGAGTCCTAAAACTTGTCAAAATGATTCATTTGAGTCATAAAGTTAACACCGTTAGATTTACTAACGGAAAATGCTGACGTGTCATTTTTAATTATTTTTCTTGAGACACGTGGCGCCACGTCAGCAAAAATAAAAATAAAAATAGAAAAAGCTGAAAAAAAAAACCAAAAAAAACCAAAAAAAGGAAAAAAAAAAAAGAACCGGCGGTGGCCAAGCCCGACGGCCACCGCCGGTGGCCGAAGCCCTGCGGCCGGGAAGGACCGGCGGAGGTCGCCTGGGCCTTCCCGAAGCCCGGCGACCCTCGCCGGCCCCGGGCGAGTCTCCGGCGAGGGCCGGCGACCCTTGATCTCGGGGGAGGCGCGACCCTCGCCCCAGATCTGAGCGAGGGTCGCCGGCCCTCGCCGGAGACTCGCCCGGGGCCGGCGAGGGTCGCCGGGCTTCGGGAAGGCCCAGGCGACCTCCGCCGATCCTTCCCGGCCGCCAGGCTTCGGCCACCGGCGGTGGCCGTCGGGCTTGGCCACCGCCGGTTCTTTTTTTTTTTTTTTTCCTTTTTTTGGTTTTTTTGGTTTTTTTTTCAGCTTTTTCCATTTTTATTTTTATTTTTGCTGACGTGGCGCCACGTGTCTCAAGAAAAATAATTAAAAATGACACGCGCCAAGTCAGCATTTTCCGTTAGTAAATCTAACGGTGTTAACTTTAGGACTCAAATGAACCATTTTGACAAGTTTTAGGACTCAAATGAACTTTTTGTAAATTTTAGGACTCAAACGCATTTTTGTGACAAGTTTTAGGACTTGTAGTGCACTTGTCCCTTGATCATATGCTTCAAATTTAAGGTGATAGAGAATGCCGGCAATAAAGATCGCTTGGAAGTAAGTGCTTATGAAATTAGCTTTAGGGGATAAAGCTAAAGCAATGAAAATCATTTTAAAGCTATCACATTTCAAGCAAATTCTATGTAGAGCGAAATAACACCTTGTGAAATCGAGCTCCATCAAAATCGACTTTTTAGACTGGTGGTCTTAAAGGGCAATAAAACCATTCGTGAGAGTGCATCATCACGATCACGTCTCGGATAGACGGTAAAATGATACTTGATGTGTTGGAAATGCGTAGCGGAAGCCCGATACCTTCACCCAGGGAGATCGCTATAAGAGAGCCCAGGTTCGAGCCCGTCAACATATTAAGTTGTATCCACATTTATTCAAAAATTTAAGCCAATGAGTTATAAGCTAACTAGGATATATTAACTGCTCCATATTACACCAGTTCTTCGATATTGGACTTCTCTAACACGATTCATACATACATCCTAACATGATGCACTCGAAAAATAACTCGATGACGCCGAGTTATAATCGTTCGAATATAGAGAGGATATTTAAGGGGCTTACAACTTATGGCTCATTCACGGGCGTCAAAAAGAGTTCGAGAGAATTCAGTAGAGTACATCGCATCGTAAATTTATACACAAAATGTAATTACACAATACCCACAAGCCACAATTAACCCAGAATGATTTGCGGCAGTGCAAATTCTCATAATCAATATAAAATCTCCAATGAAAAGAAGTGCACGTGCCTTGACTTTACGAGAGAGAGAGAGGGAAGTGAGACAACGAGAGATCAAAGATGACTTGTCCTTCTATGCCAATATGGGGGGCAAGAGCTGATGTTCTGACATTTGATAAAGACGTGGGCCTCTCTCTCTTCTTTCTGCCCTCTTTTATTTGAAGTGGTGGGGCTCTCTCTCTTCCCATTACGTAAGGCAGGTCCCCGTCCCCTTGTGTCATAATCGCCTTAGGATTAATATACAAATCTACTCTTGAACTTTGATCGCACCTAGACGACCCAGCGCTAACACGGAAAGCACGTGAAACCTTCTTTTTCGCAAGTAAAACGGGTCCATGTGCATCGTAAACGGGGTTAAAGAGGGGTCGACTCGCGCACATGACGCGTTTAATATTCGTGCAAAAAATTGTGTTGACTTGTTTTGTACAGGAACTCTGATGTAGAACAGTTAGCTTGTGATTATCTTGAATAATATGATCGCCGTAATCACCGGAAATCTCTGCAGTTTTTATGATTTTGAACAATAAATAAGATGTCCGTCTTGTAATCAAGAACACAGTATTATTGAATAAAAATTTCGAGTTCTTTGGAGTTGTTCCAAATTTACGCTTTCTCTCTGTGTCAAACTCATTTTAAGCTAAAGAGGCACGCTAGAGCGTGTGTTGTGTACCCGTCGGGTGAAATTACATGTTACATGTTATGTGAACGAGTCGTATCGAAAATCGTCGGCCCTCGATCTGAGGACACGTTTGGCGAATCCAGTAAGGGCCGGAAACTGATGATATATGCGCGGTATTTACCTCCATCTCTGATTGGAAGAAGATTTCTTCCGCCGGGCTTCTGATTGGTAGGTTATAAGTCAATGAAAATCACCTGTGTACAAATTTGGCTAAAACAAAACACGGACGACGTTTTTAACCCGATTACGATTAGGGAGTTAAAAGTATCGGCTTTAATTCGAGATGGGAATTCAATGCGGTTTAGCTTAAGGCTCGAAAGCCACTCCTCCAATCACACCATGATATTTAGCTACGAAATTCGACTTTCGAATGGCCGATTGCAATCGCTAATTAGTTATTTTTACTAGTTACTTACAAATTTCAAATAGGACATATACTTCGACAATTTTCATAAAAAATCACAATCCAGCTCTCCAACTTCTATTTTCGCATAAAAAACACCTTAATGGGGGGATTTGTGTGCGCACTAAATCGAGTGCGTTGTGGACTCGACCGTAATCACGATGGTGTCGAGAGCAAAGCCACCATGGAAAGGACGGCCGGTTCGACCGGGTTACACGTGTGGTGGATCGAATCTCCAAGGGATCGAACCGGGTTCAATAATCAATAGTCAAAGTGGACCACGTGATTCACCCCGCGCACCAAAGTCTATTTTCGTCGCCTTCGTCTTCTTCTCCTGCTCCTTCCTCTTTCACCGCTTTCCCTATTGTTTTTAACCTTTTCTTTTCCACCCTTTCGGACTTCATTTTCTGAAGCAGCAAAATCTTCGATACTAACTGCACAGATGATTTCCGAACTCTTAATTCCCGCGACGTGGTCCCTGAACTTCGGCCCCTAATACAATGCCATCCCCAGACTTTAAATTTGTACAACATGGATTTCAATATTCAATATAATCTCCAAGTTATACGAAAATGTTTAACAATTCACGATCGACATTACACATTAGATCAAAATTTATGGACTATATCGAACAAATTAAAAGTTCAAGGATGATACTGTGTATTAAATTAAAATTTAGAGATCACATCGAATAAATTAAAAATTTTAGAGACACATTACATATTAAACTAAAGTTCGGGGAACGTATGTCTCGAGATTTTCCACGCAAGCAGACAAGAGTCTCCCACTGTCTCTGACCCTCTGGTCCTCTCTCTGTCTCTCTCTCCATCTCTTTCTCGGAGCCACGGCGCGTGCGTAACAACCGCCCGTTTTTCTCACTAATAAATTTTTTTTTGTCCCCGTTGACCGTTCAGTTTCCCGGGAAAGCGAGCAGTCCCTCCCACCAGTCGCCTCCACCACTCGCATCCATCAGCAGCGCCCTCCCCCCCCCATCATCTCCTCCTCCTCCTCCTATATAAACTCCTCCTCATCCACTTCCTCCCTCTCTCTAGCTCGATCCTGCCGTGCTCCGGCCACCGCATATCTTTTAGGGTTTCTCTGCAGACCTCATTCCCTTCCCTTCCCTTCCCCCCCTCCTCCCTTGCGCTTCGTCGGTGCTGTGCCGATGGAGTTCGATGCCCTCCGATCCCCGCCGGACTTCGAATTCCGGGAGAAGCTCGTGTTCCCCCGCTCCCTCCCCCCCGCCCCCGCCCCCGCCGCCCTCGCTCCCCCCGACCTCGACCCCCCCGACTCCCCGGCCTCCGCCGCCTCCACCACCGACGTCTCCATCGCCAGCGGCCCCGAATCACCGGGCAATGCCGGGCCCGACGGCGAGCTCCCCGTCGAGCGCGAAATGCCGTGGAGCCCCACCGCAGCTGGCGGCGGCGGCGGGGGGTCACGCGAGTTGATCCTCGGGCCGCATGCCGGCGTCGGCTCGGGCGGTTCGCCGGCGGCGGCGGCGGCGGCGGCGGTCGGCGGTCAGGAGGAGCCGGGGGCTGAGGCGGGATCGAACGTGCTCCGCGCGCCGGGGAGCGCGCCCCCCGAGTCAAGCGCCGCGGTGAAGCTGCAGAAGGTGTATCGGAGCTACCGCACGCGGCGGAGGTTGGCGGACTCCGCCGTTGTGGCCGAGGAGCTGTGGTGGGTGCACTGGAATTTCGTGCTATTCATCCGCTTTTCCTCCTCCTCCTCCTTCTTGGTCTCAGCAATGGCTGTGAATAATTTTTGCAGGTGGCAAGCACTGGATTTCGTGAGATTGAATCGCAGTACCATCTCTTTCTTCAATTTCCCCGAAAGTGCTGCCTCGAGGTGGACTCGTGTCGGCCTAAATGCTGCCAAGGTTAATAAATTTCTCCTCGTTCGATGTACCGAATGGTTAGTTTGGATTTCCGTGTCGGAGCCGCGAAATCGCACGTACAGTGGACTGTTTCTCTGATGCTGAATTTTGTCCCTGTTACTGATCTTCGCTCGAACGCGTCGAGGAAAAAGACGGCTCTACGTTGACTGAGTTTTGGACTTTCTTGGACAGGTGGGAAAGGGTTTGTCCAAAGACGCTAAAGCACAAAAATTGGCTTTTCAGCATTGGATCGAAGCTGTAATTAACTTGCCTTCTCTGTTTCCTTGTTTGAAATTAGCGTCTCTTCAAATTTGGCCTGGCAACTTGAAGATTGAGATGTAGTTTGTATCTTGATATTCAACATGCACGTATCGTCTTCTGGATTGTAGATTGATCCCCGGCACCGCTACGGGCATAGCCTGCACCTGTACTATGAAGAATGGTGCAAAGCCGAATCAGGACAACCGTTCTTTTACTGGTGAGTAAAATGTTTGTCGGGCTAAGAATGGGTGATTCTTATAAATATGTCGAAGCGATTTACTTGATGGCGGAAGCTTCCAGCTTGGTTTTGCTCGGAGTTTTCTGCTAACAGAGCTTGATTTTCTGAGATATTATTTGAACTCGATCCTGCTGCTGAACCTCTGTCCATGGGCTGGATGGCAGTTTCTCTCCCTCTTCTGTGTCATCAAAATATGTGAACACTGAACATATATCTTGTTATTTGCTTTTGGTCATTTCGTGTCAACGCTTTCTTTGTCTGTTTTATAATTAAGTACGTCTTTAGTCTTTATGACGATGATTGAATTAACATGGTGACCAGAGTTAGGAATCTAAGCAGGGTTTTTCTTCCCCCTCATTCAGAGATTCTAGTCTGGAGTGTAGTAGGCTTGGACTTTATATGGGAGGCCAACTTGCTTCGATGATGCTATGTTTCTTGAGTAATTCCTAGTGAAGGACGACGGTGCAGGGTCACTTGGGATCTACTTCTGGTAAAAAAAAAAAAATTTCTTCAGAGGTGATACTGAAGAGATGCTGTGTCACTGAATGGTTGAGAAAATTTTCATGTATGAAATTCATCTCAGCCTTATAATCAGGTGTGCTTAATGTGGGACTCTCGTGATATCAGGGCTGGTTCACTAATTTCATTCCCAAAGAAAATATGAGGACTGTAATTGTAACAGAAATTGATTGTACTAAAGGTCGGGCATTCTGCTGTGGTTTGTTTCTCCTTTGTGTTTTTGTGGTGCAATCTATCATAGCCATTAATGTTTGGGAGAGGGCTGAAGAATGAAAATGGTTGGAACATACAAAACAATTATAAACTTTGCAGTCTATATGCCTCTCACAAAAATTTCAAAAATTTCCAACCAATTTTCCGTTTCTCTCATTTTCCCTAACTTCCCAAACATAGGCTAAGTAGAATGGCTGTGTTCTGAAGTTTCTCTGTTTGATTTTTGCAGGTTGGATATAGGAGATGGCAAAGAGCTTGATCTTAAAGAGTGCCCAAGATCAAAACTCCGACAGCAGTGCATTAAGTACCTTGGACCCGTGCGTATCTATATTCAGTAGTCATACTCCTATCGATTGACTGGTCTTGCAATGCATTAATTGTGTTTCTTTTATCTCTTCAACCATGACTAACGCTCGCTTGCTTTCTCCCTTTCCTTCTTTTTCCTCACTGAAATCAGCAAGAGAGAGAAAGCTATGAGTATGTTGTCATCAAGGGGAAGATCATCCACAAACAATCTGGAGAATTCCTTCATACAAAGAAAGGTTCAGAAGGTGCTAAATGGATATTTGTGATGAGTACTTCAAAAAAGTTATACGCTGGTGAGGTAAGCTGATATTTCTATATAGATGCAAACCTCTGATTTTATTATGATTGCCGATGTTTGTGTCGTGAGAAGTTGATCCTCTAAACTGTTTAGAAAAAGAAAGGAGTATTTCATCATTCCAGCTTTCTGGCTGGAGGAGCCACTATAGCGGCTGGAAGGTTGGTAGCAGAGCATGGAGTACTTAAGGTACATTGCACATTTTGTTGTGTTTTTAACGTTCTTCTAAAATTTAGATAGACAGTTTTCTAGTTTTAGTTCCAATTGCAATCTCCTTTTTTACATTCCAAGTCCTAGATGTGAGTTTTTCTCTCCTTCCCTGCTATTTTCATTTGGATCATTAATGAAATCGTACAAAAATAATTTCCTTATTTCAGTTTGACTACATATAGATGTTAGTTCTTATGAATTGGTTGTGAAGCGCTGTTGAAAAAGGGATTGAAAATGATATGTCATGCCTTATGGTAGCTCTTGTTATAAATACCCTCTGCTTCAATGTCTCCAAGTGGTTTCTTGTTGTTCCATTTACTGAGATACGCAACAAGGTGAAGGTCATCGAGACCTAACTAAAACTGCAATGCGATATGCAAGTATTCTGCTGAACTGTTGGCAATGTCAAACTTTATTGTCCAAAGCTGCCAAAGAAGCTTGTTCAGAACACCTATCTCATCCTCTATAACAACATCCAAACTTCACATCGAAGTTATGTTAATGCAAGATCTACAAATAGTTCTTTGAGCCATAATGTCGTTTTACCTCAAATGATCCTGCATGCAGCTTCTTCTCCAAGATTTCCTATCGAAGAATCACCTCCTGTTACCTTTACCCTTATAATGCGATCTGCTATTTCTTCTGTTGGATGGCAAAGCAAAAACCGAATCAACAATTGGACACGCATTTGTTCTTAAAAGGAATCGTCGGTTAGGGACTTAATATTTATCTATCTGAAAGTTTCTCATACTCTCTTTGGTGTGCTGGCAAGCATTAATGATCTTATTAAATGTCAGAGTCTTGGCTAGTCTGGAATAATTTGTCAGTATGAACTGACTCTGGGCAAGTCGAGACAGGTCAGGATAGAACATTGGTTTCGTTCATTCTTTTCTTGATAAAGTATCAGCTTTCGAGCTTCAGCTTTTAGTGCTGTCTTAACATCAACATAATGACTGCTAAAGCTGGCATGACATCTGTATTGCTTTTTATGGTGCCTGACAGTGGCTTGTTTTGTTTTTCCAAGTCCATCTCTGCTTATAGTGGACATTACCGACCAACTGAAGATAGACTTGACAGCTTCTTATCCTTTCTGAAGGAAAATGGAGTCAACCTGGAAGAAGTCGAGGTAGCTGTACTCCTTTGTTCAACTGAAAATTGTCTCTCTGTCTAAGTGCGCAATGGTTTGTTTTTCTTCTTTCGGACAATATAGAAATCCACAGAATTCAACTCTTTCAGAGAGGTGAAGCATCCAGTGGGAGTCATGGCCTGTCTCATGATTTCACTATCATGTTCAGCCCAATTCAAAATTGGCTGGTCTTTGCACACCTAATGCCTGTGGAAAGCATTCTATTTGCTTTTCTTTCTCTGTTTTATTTTTAACACCTAGTATTCCCAGGTGCTGTAACTCTCTCTCTGATGGTTTGTTATATGTCTCATTCCAGATACGTAAGGCCAGTGAAGATTCTGATACGTACGAAGATAACAAACCAAGAGTAAGGGGAAGTTTGGTTGAAACTTCAGGAACCTCAGAACTTTCCCAACCTGAAATTCCAAAAGAAGAGATGGAGAGCGAATCTATTGAGTTGACAGAAGCCACTGCCCCTCAAGAAAAAATCAATTACAAGAGGACCTTGTCTGGGGGTCTACAAAGCCCTAGAGCCGAGGTACCCAAGAAGGCAATCTTGCAAAGAATAAATTCCAAGAGTGTGGCGAGATCGTATCAACTGGGGCATCAACTCTCGCTCAAATGGTCAACAGGTGCTGGTCCTAGAATTGGATGTGTTGCCGACTACCCATTAGAACTAAGGCAGCAGGCACTGGAGTTCGTTAACCTTTCTCCTAGACGTCCGCCTACTCCTTCGACCTATCGGGATATCACCATTCTCTCCCCCTCGGGCCTTTGTCCCTCTGCATGATCTAGCAATGTCTGTGGATCCTCTCCCCAAACCGGAATAATCATTAGCTCTCCTGCAGTATTGGAGGTTATTGTGGATGGAAATGTCTCTCTCCATACTACGCCGATCCTCGCCTAAGTGCTTATAGCATTATAGTACTTACGCTCAATTGTCTGGTAATCACTGCTCATCCACTATGAGTATTGTGAAGTTTTAAGTGCTCCAACATTCGTCTCTGATGGCGAGGTGGCATATTTATAGCCTGAGACTTAGTATCATGTGATCAAGGTGACATGACTTGGTTTTCATCCTGAAATCATTGTAACTTTGATGCGCATACCACTATTTTCTTCTAATGTAATTGTCAGGCCAAAAATATCTCTTCGCACATATGGTATTTCGTCTTCATTTTAGGGCAATTTACTTTGGCCCATTCAGGGTTACTGTTATCCTGAAGCTTTATCTGGGAGTGTAAAGGTTCTGCTTTATTCGACGACAAATGTGACTATCCTGACAAAATAGTTTCATGGCATCTTTGTTGTTCCCATCAGCGCGGTCGTTCCTTTTGAGCTCTGGATTAGGAAAAGCACTGGATCGAGAGAACACGATCTTCTTTTCCTACCCAACGCATTGCGGCGTCAACCATTCATTAATGTGGAAATTAAAGAGAAGGAAATGAAACACCTGCATCGTATTCTAGCTCCAGAACAGGATTAGCCTTGTGGTTGAGACAACATAGCCAGATCAGAAGACAAGATTTTATCTACTCTATACGATAATTGGTTGGTCTGTGGTGAAAACTAAGATTGGACTCTTAACACGATGTCTCGAGTCTCTCCATTCAAGTGACCCTGACATGGTGTGTGTACCCTTCTCTACCCGACCACCCTTCACCACGACCTTGAACGACCGGTTCTCATGCAACTTGTCGAACTTCAGAGTGTCCGGGACGACCTGGATGGAGACACCCTCTGGAGCAGTCACTCTGGCCTTATACACCGTTTTGACGGGCCCAACGTTCGTCACGGTTCGGTAAAAGACGGCGGAGATGCGAGCGCTTGTATCCGTGAGTTGGAGATGCATGGAAGGGTAGTTTAGGCCATCGGTGCCATGTGCGGGCTTAAAGCTCGAGCAATTGAATTTCTTCTTGCCACCGGTGAGCAAGGCGATGGCTGTGCCATTGTACCCTTCCTTGCATAAGAAGCTGATGTATGATCTCATAGGGATATCGTACACGAGGCCGGGATTCACCGCCTTCACTGGATTTATTTGGCCTGACCCCGAACTTAGCTCGGCGAACTGGTCCTTGATTTTCATAGGCACGGCTGAAAGGAGGAGCTGATTAGTAAGACTCTCCTGATTAGCAAGACTATCCTTGGGACACAGAAAGGAGTGAAAGCCTCATCCTTACGAAATTTGCTAAAAAATGCCTCTTCTTTGAACATCTGAGACTAATATCCAAAAGGGCGGGTTTAACTCTTTTAGTCCTGTTGAAAGTAATAATATTTGGTTTGGGGTTGTTCTAAAGGTTTTTGAGACAGACTCACCGGTAGTCATTAGAGCAGACTTGATCGCGGCCGGTGACCAATTTGGGTGAAATCTCTTCACGTAGGCTGCTGCTGCTGCCGCGTGAGGACAAGCCATGGACGTTCCCGATAATATGTTAAATGTGGCATGTCGATTGTCTAATGGATCCTCCGTCACTGGCGGAAGTTTTGAATAAGCAGCCAGTATGTTGAGTCCGGGTGCTGCAAGGTCAGGCTGTGCATATACACAGACGTCGACTTGAGAGAGAGAGAGAGAGAGAGAGAGAGAGAGAGAAAGAGAGAGAGAGAGAGAGAGAGAGAGAGAGAGTTTCTACCTTAAGGATGTTGAGCGTGATTTGTTGGGGTCCTCTGGAAGAGAAAGCTGCGATGAACGGTGCATTCATCTTGGTCGTTCTTGTCCTGGATATGACAGCTCGAGGATTTCTGCTCGACATAGGTTGAAGAATATGAGTTCAGACTGTTACCAAATGCGGAAAAACAAAAACCCAACATTGCGAAACTGCTAGTAGCCACATTTTCATGAACATTCATCTGACTTTTATCTAGGAATGATCCAAGTGGGTGCGGGAAATCCAGTAGAATAACCTAATCAGATCAGGTAGAACCTACTTGGTAGAGTTAATATAGCGGTCTATCTTTTCACTGTCCTGGCTGCTAACTGTAGTTCCAGGCATAGACATGATGAAGGCGACGTCGACATCCGCTGAGCTATCACTGGAAGTGACGATTCCAATCCCGTCCAGTTGTTTGATTGTATCATCCTGGCCATAATATCCCTCACAATATACAACTCTTCCCTTTACCTTCTCCTGGCTTAGGCTCCCATAATCACAAGCACTGTCGAAAGAATGATTGTCAGGGACAAAATACTGGCCAGTTACTGAACAATTAAATAGAGAGGACTTTGTCGAGATGTTTGACACTGTGCCCGGATCACAACTAAAACAAGAAATCATCTTCATTTTTTCTTGTACTAATGTTTTTTGATTTGGCGCAAGATCAGTTCTGGTTATTTGACGAGTTACGCATTTATATTCCTACCTTGCATTCAGATAGCCCTGCTGGCTAGCATTGGCCGCAAGTGTTCCGCTTATTAAAGGGTACATCCGCTTCTTCGGCGAAAAAGTATTGATTGAAAGTCCCTGTCATGCAACGGGAAATATAGTTATGAATGTTAGAGAGAGAGAGAGAGAGAGAGAGAGAGAGAGAGAGAGAGAGAGAGAGAGAGAGAGAGAGAGAGTACATTATACGATACGCCATTGCCTAACTTAAATTCTGTTTGGAACTGTCTGTCGATGCTACTTGCGGCAACCGTCATAATCCACGGCGCAACATTTTCGACGGTGTAATCCGAAGGCCCATCATTCCCTCCTGAGCAGGAAGTCAGAACCCCCCGCTTCATGGCATGGAACGAGCCAATTGCGATCGGGTCGCTGAAGAAGTCCTTGGAGGGACCGCCTATCGACACCGAGATCAGATCCACGCCGTCTGCTATCGCATGGTCGAAACCGGCCAAGAGATCCATGTCAGAGCAGCCATTTCCCCAGCACACTTTGTACATGGCAATGCGGGCTGATGGCACGCCTCCCCTTGCAGTCCCCTTGGCTATGCCGTAAAAGCTAGCTCCTTTCACAGCTACGCCAGCTGCAGTGGACGAGGTGTGGGTCCCGTGGCCGTCGTCATCAGCAGGGGTCACTGGTCCGGTCGCGATATTGTCCAGGTTGAAGTACTTCGCACCAATCACCTTGCTGTTCAAGTCACAATGGGACAGGACATGAGAAACCTAGGAAAAGCCAAACTGCAGGGACAAATTTTAGCCCGAAACATTGATCTCTAGGAGTAGAATCTTGAGGATCGTGTACATAGCAAAATCCTGTCACATTACATATTCAATTTTGACAAAAGAAGAAATTTTGGAACATCCGCGTCTCCCATTTTGTTATCAGAGAGAGAGAGAGAGAGAGAGAGAGAGAGAGAGAGAGAGAGAGAGAGAGAGAGAGAGAGAGAGAGAGAGAGAGAGAGAGGGGCTACTTGTTGCAGCCAGTGAAGTTGACACCCTTCATACATTTGCCTTTCCATTTGGCTGGGGCAGGTCCAAAGCCATTGTCATCAAAACTTGGGGCGTTTACATAGATGCCTGCATCATTCAAATCCTTAGAAACATTACCAAAAGATAAAAATACAAAAAACAAATTGACATCCTTGCAATATAATTTGTTAAACGCACATTTGATACGACTGTGGCCTTACCTGTATCTAGAAGGCCTATGATAATGTTACTCTCAACCTTGGAGTTTCTTCTCCCCGAGGTCTCTGGCATTCCTAGGAAGTCCCAAGATCGAGTCGTGTGAAGTTTCCGTTTTGTGTTGGCAAACACCGACACGACTGTGTCTTCATCTGCAGATGAATTAAACAGATTGAAGAATCCAGAAGACTACAATCCTAGCAATCAGGGAGCATTTTTGTGTTGCTTGTGTACCTGATAGCTTCTGAGCTTCCCGTGGCAAGAGCCTGGCCGCAAACCCATTAAAGCTCTTACCATAACTGTAGATCTTGGCTTGTCTTGCTGTGTCCTCACTGAAAAAGAAATATTAAACTACACTAGGTAAGATAGGCGATGACATGATCAAAACATTCTAATTACTACGAGAAGAATCATTACTCTCCGATTGCCGCCATGAGCAGGTTGTGGTGTTCGTCCTCGATACTGGTTTTGGCCTCCGGCACTTCTCCCATGTATACAATGTATGGCTGCATTTTGACAGGTAAGAAACAAAATCATGAATCAGAGAGGAATTTGCCAGAAGTACACCGATGAAAAAGTTGAACGCTGAGAGAGGAAATCATACCGATGTTGCATATAACAAAGTTTTATTATGATTTCTTGTTTAGATTTGCCAATGACATCGATTCAATTGACCATATGTATTTCCTGGACCACAGGCACTTGCTTCCCAAGGGTCTACAAATACTTATTTGTTGCGCCGGCCTGATCTATCATTAATACGATTCACTTGCCTAATGCAACACGGGTAATACTAATTCCTTAGGCCATACATATTATAGTTCGATGTACATATCGAGGTGACGGGATTGATTTTCTACGGGCGATTGGCTTTGACCAAACGCGCTAACCATGTTAATGAAACCAAATAGTAGATTGCACGAACAAGACTGTACATTTCTGAGTCGATTTTCATGCCCATGATGCACCAGCCATCAAAACCTACCTTCCTCTCATTGTCGTGCAATCCTCGGACGAGAGTGGCAAAAAGACAGAGCACGAACAAGAACACCACTGATACCCCTGACATCCTCGCTTTAACTCTTTAAGCTTGTTAGAAAGCGCAAATTTCACTATTTGCTCTGCTAAGAAAACAAGACAAGTTTGCGGTTTTATATAGAAAAAGGTGGGCTCGAAGGCGAGCGAAAAACCACGCCTCGAGGGTCAAAAGATTCACTCTCTAACGCGTACAACCACACAGAAATTTTCTGCTCGAAACAAGAGAGTTAAGAGGCACGTAATTTGGATCGTTACTGAAACTACTAGATTCATTCTCAAGTGTGTAGCTGAGCGATCATATAGGAGATCACCTTCACAAGAATAATGCCAGTTGGTTTTGATCCAATATAAAAACCCAATTGACGTGGAAATGAATGGTGATCTCTTCAGAGTTTTGATAAGGTTGCGTTTTGTGAATTCGTGGTTACTGAAGCTTCTGGGCATGCATCGTCTTATGTTGTTTCGCTTCTGCAGAACCATTTGAAACTCTGTCTGAACTGAATCAATGTCATATTATAAGCGAGAAACATGGACTACCACGTGAATGATTATGGGCCTGGGCTTCAAGTTACACAGCCACGAGTAAGGGTGATTGGTTCCAGAGAGGGTAAGTTCCGGCTGGAACCTAAATCTTACCCTGTTAAAACTGGTTCCCAGTTTTTGGAACTCAGAATCTATTCTGTTTGTTTTGGAACCAACCTCGGAACCTAAACTGTTTGTTTGGTCTAGTTCTAGGGTCTATTCGGGAACAGGTTTCGTTTTTTTTACTTTGCCTCATTATTTTAAAAAATCAAAACAAATAGTAATTATAGTAAAATAGTATCAGCAACAAAACGGCTCAAAGTAAAATATTGATACAAAACAAACAGAAATATAAAGCAATAGGGAAATTAATCTCATCTAAGAAAGATAAATCATTTTCTTCCAATTGGTTCTTGGATGAGTGGGTTGGTTCAACACCCAGAACCTGGAACCTACCCGCACATTATTAGTTCCAAAAATTTAAAACCGGGAATCAGATTTGTTTCCATAGGTGGTCGGTCCAATTCCCGGATAGAACCAGATTGGTTGAATAGCCCTAGCCACAAGTCCACAACAAGAGCTCTCCATCTTCTGGAGATGATCTGGAGACCCTTTTAGTGTTCTTGTCTTCATTTGGAAATGTCAAAATGGACGACTTCACTCATATTTTGTTGTTTTGGTCCTGAATTTACGCACCTTTTCTAATCCAATTTCTCGGACATTCAATGTGAATTTTCTAATCAAATTTCTTCGACAATATTGCCGATCAATTCCAGAGCTAACGTGGCCACCGGACCATGCTAGAGTATGATGGCGAAATAAAATTTGGCTTCATGCACAAGCTGCTACCATAGAAAATTTTGCCTCCACCGACGAGCCACAAAGCCACGGTGGAAAAAACTTTTTCCATGTCATACTCCGGCATGGTCATACTCCGGCATGGTGCGACAGTCATGTCCACTTGAACTAGTCGGACTTGATTAGAACATTATGTTAGTTCAAGGATTTGGTTAAACAAATCCAAAGTTGAAGGAATTGGTTGGAAAAAAATGTAGGTTTAGCTTTTGTGACATAAACACAACGACAGAAATCACACTTTTAGATTCGGACTCTTGTTATTAGATGTTAAATCTTGACCCACGAACTCTTACACACGTTTGTTTTTTATTCGAAGAAATAGCAATTTGATTCCCATTCTTTTCCTTATAAAACATTTATTCCATCATTAAATAGCCCAAATAGTTCTTATACTAGCTATTTTCACTGCATCAAGAAGAAGTATTTCCAAGCCATCTCAAGAGTGATGGAGAAAGCAAGTTTTTTACATGTAAGTAAAGTGAGGATAAGAGAGGCCGGAGGTGTGAGTAGGCCTACCGATGATAGCCCATTTGAGTAAATACGATGGGCCAAAAGCTTATAGAGCCTAACACGCCAGTTTTAAAAAGGTTAGCCTTATAAAGTAAAGTGAAGATAAGAGATGATAGAGATGTAAGTGAGCTTATTGGTGGAAGCCCACTCAGCACATAAAATAGGGTAAGAGCTTATACAGTTCAACGGCCAGTTGCAAAAGGGCTTACCTTAGAAATTGCAAAATCGGGTTATAAGCCACTCAACTTAAGGCATGGGTATTCGATGTGAGACTTCAATTCACCTCATCCCATCATAAGTTTGTGCTTTCTCAGGAGTTTCACCCTTCTAAAATGATGTTTTAACTTTCTCTTGATAAGTAAAATGAAAATGAGAGACGACAGATGTACAAGTGAGCTTATTAGTGGAAGCCGACTTGAACTAAGCTAGATCAGTTTTTTTAATCCTATTTCAAAATTTTCTCAAAGCGATCTGCTTTTTTAGACTCTAGCATGAGAAACATGGTTTAGCCTTGTACAGTCCAAAATAATGTTGAATTCCAAATATATTTGAATTTAAAAAATTTAATAGAAAATAAATAAATTTTCCTTAGGAATCCTAATATAACCCTTAACAAGTTCTAATTGAATAAGTAAAAATCAAATGAGGTGGAAAATAACGTGGTGTTGGGGTCGAATTCGAAAGAATGGGCAGAAAAGTGCCAAAAACAGTTAATTTTGATGTTGAAAGTGGCCTTAAGAAGGTCCCCAATTTACCCCTAGCATGACACTCTCAACAAGTTTTTCCATTGGGATAATGACACAAACAGTCCCTAAACTTTGGCCCAGTGTACAATTTAATCCCTGAACTTTTAATTTGTTCAATGTAGTCTCTGAACTTTAATCTAATGTTCAATTTGATCCCTGAACTTTTAATCTGTTCAATGTGGTCTTGGACTTTTGGTACATGTTCAATTTAGCCCCTAAACTATATGAAAATATTCAATGTAGTCCCTGAACTTGAATTAATGAAAGGACTATATTGAACATTTTCATATAGTTTAGGGACTAAATTGAACATGTACTAAAAGTTCAAGGACCATATTGAACAAATTAAAAGTTCAGGGACCAAATTGAACATTTGGCTAAAGTTCAGGGACTATGTTGAACAAATTAAAATTTCAGAGACCAAATTGTATATTGGGCCAAAGTTCAGAGATTGTTTGTATCATTTTCTTTTTCCCATTGGTATCATGGGCATAAATCACAGTTCAAAATTAGTGTTTTGTGTAAAGGTTGGTAAACATTCGTTCTTTAGATGAAATTTATAAATTTTCAACAATAATTTCGTGTTATTTATTTAACATATCGAATCTTGAAATTGGACTATCAAGAAACGATATTTTTTGAAATGTTTCTTTTATAAGTAATTTGTTTTCTTTTTTTATGAATGGGCTCATATCAAACAGATAAAATCTCGTCCTACACATGTTTTTTTTTTTTTCTATATTACGATCGATCTACATACTGTGTTCAGTTTGTTTTAGATATCCTTAAATGCCTGGCCTGAACCACTCCGGCGCAACTATTGCACCTCCATGTACCTTTTAGGATTTATTATAATCTATATAGGCAACAGAAATTGAGAAAATATAAATTACTAAAGTCAAACAGTTAAATAGTAACAATAATAATTGTACTAATCAATTAATAGACTTTGTAATTAATAATGTGTTATGTTTAGGTGGTTATTGTAGCTAGGAATATCCCCAATAAGATAAAAAAAGTAAAAAGTAATTTAATATTCAACTTTAAGTCATAATACTATTTTCCATAATTTTAAGTTAATTTTCATTCATTATATAATATCAAAGCATGTATAATTCTAGTTTAAGTTCTAATTGTCCTGCACACTTCATAATTTTTGCCGCTATTTTTCTAAAAAAATATTTACAATTACATTTCTATAATAAAAATATATATTTATGAGATAAATTCATCTATGTACTATTCATAATTTTTTTTATTTATATAAGGAACTCTAACTTTAGAATTCATTGTATTTAAAAAAGGAACTATAGTCATATCTAAGTGATTTTATCGTAAGGGAGTTCATACTTCATAGTTAAAATAAAAGGATTACTATTGATAAAAGGTTCATAGTCTATCACTATCAATTATAAAGCTGTTTCTCTTCTATTATTAAAAAATAAATTGGATATTTATTCTGGTAGATTAAAACGAGTGAAAGGGCAAATTGATGTTGTTAATAAGTTATTCCTCATGCTGTTCCAGTGAATATTTAGCCAAACAAAGACAATTCTGAAGTTGGTTATTCTATCCCATAAACCAAACTAAGAAAGCCATTGTACTGCTATTCATACTCTATTCTATATCTAGAGAATAGTATTTCATACCAACGATGTCCTAATTTGCGAAACGGTATGATTAGAAAGTATGAATCTTTCAATTGAACTTTTGCACTAATAAATTACCCAAAGAAAAGCACTGACTCTTTGCATCCTAGAGCGAATTTGAATTTCAGTTTCAGGATAACTTTGGTTTTTTGATAACTTAGAGTCACTAGCCCAAAGATCCGGCTATTTAGGGACTCGTGGAAAGCCCTACAAACCCCATAAAGTGAGTAAAGTTCACGCCTTTGGTCTTTGTGGATGTTTCTGAACTAAAATAATTTATACGTAATTGGTAGAATTTGAACGGTGTAACCTCTATTTTCAAGAGATGGAAATTCCCGGACGACCTAAACCTAAGATAGTTAACTCCAGGGTAACTTTCCACTGTTTAGCCAAAAAATGACAAAAAATTGCTCCGACCTGCTCCAAGTTGACTGCAGTGAATCACAAAGCCTAAAAACAACTATTAAGCAACGATGTGAATTTAAACCAAATTGGTAAAGAGTTTCGGTCTTCAATCCATGATTGTAGAATCGTCTGCTTCGTCTGTGGCGTATTCTCTTTCCATCACTTGGTTTTTCTCCTTCTACAAGATCCTTTCGATTCTTATAGACATTTTGTCCAATGGCTTCTTCTTCTTCTATAGAGCTAAGAACCTTCTGCATTAATTATACGTCCAGTTGTTAATATCCTGTGTGCATATAAACTTGGTAATGAGAGGCAAATTTTCTCTGCTCTCTGAAATACATGTATTATAAATGTGTTACCAGATCGGTCAAATGGGTGGGTTAGGTCGGATTTAGATTGGATCGAAAACGGTCTAATTCAAATTGACCAATCTAACCATTTTTGACCCAT